TCAAGGCCAGCCTGAACTGCATAGTGAGACCCTGCCTCAAAAAGACAGAAAAAGACAGAGAGAAAACAAAGCAGAAAGAAATATAGTGCATACCCTAAAAGAGATCCTTAAAAGACAACTTAGAATAAATACTAGCCCAAAAAAGACCAATAGTAACGTGAGACTTACGGAAGTCACAGAAGCCGTTGCTTAGAAACCTTGGCCGCTCCTTACCAGGCTAGCAGTGAGACACTCCGGACCTGTCATCTGTCTGCTTTACTGCTGGGCTACCTTCTAATCAAACCAGTTTTCTCCAGATCCCCAAAAGTTCATTTCTTTTGTCTTCAGGCTTCTCTCCATACTATTTCCTCCACCGGGAGGAGCCCCAAACTTACTTTTTGGAGTCCGTGTCTGTCTGAAAGTAATGTCCACATGAACAGTTTTGTTTTATCCTAACGGTCACACTTTATGACCTACCTAGCTAGCTGCAGATGATGTCATTTACCCTGCATAAAAATAAATTGGGCTGAGGGTGTAATTCGGTGGTAAAATGGGTGCTTAGCACATACATGGCCCCAGGTTCAACCCCAGTTGAATAATAAAAAATTTAATAATAAATAAATAAAATTAAATTAAAATAAATAAAATAAATAAATAAATAAATTTAAAACAAAATAAATAATGTCTCTCACAAACATGTATTAGATGGGTAAGAAAGTAATGTGTGCTGTTTACTTTCTCCCACCCCTCTACCAACAGAAGCACCAACTCGTTAAGGGACTCCGTGGAAGGCAGCAAGTCAAGCGGAACCCTCAGCAGGTGAGAGGTGGCCGTGCCAGCCGCAGTTTACTGCTGTGCACTCACTAAAGCAAAGGGGCACCAGCTGCCTCGCAGGCCACGTGCTGGGCCGCAGCAGAGCAGAGAGCGGGATGGGCGCGGGTCTGTGTCCAGTGGTTTACGGTCAGGAGCTCCGCCGCCTGACTGACAGCCTGGAGAAACCTCCTTTTTATCGTTTCTGTCTTCGCCAGCTGTGAAAGTGGACCTGTCCACGCCCTGCTGTGTCCTCAGAGTGTGCAGTCGGGTTCCATGTTTGCGTTCAGTCAGGTGGGGTCTGAGCACTGCCTTCCGCTCTGCCACCGGGGAGCAATTCGGTGAATAGTGCTCAGTGAACGGCCTGTGTCAGATTATAAATACCTCGCACTGCCCGCTTCCCCGACCACAACACAGAGAGCACAAACCTTTGTAACTATCTTCTCTTAGCCTAAAAGAAATAATGTCTTGATTTCCACCTTTGAGTATAAGCACTACCCTGTACATATTTATAACTATACTGTCAACTGTATATTTTTACTCTCCCTCTTTTCTGATTGTTTTGGAATCATCTCTTCATGTAGTCTGATCTGTGTGGGAGGCACTGTTTCCCATGAGTAGGATAGAAGTGAAGACTTGGATACTTCAAAACTTCCCAAGCTCATACATCTTGTATGAGGAGGTCAGAGTTAAACTCGGTCTGGCTGGCTCAGGAGTAGGTACTGTGGGGGCTGAGGATTTAGCTCAGCGGCACAGCGCCTGCCTGGCAAGCGCAAGGTCGTGAGTTTGATTCCCGGTACTGGAAGAAAAACCACCAAACAAAAAATTAAGAGTAGGTACTGTGGCCAGTACTGCATGCTGCTCTGCAGACCTAGACTGAGTACTCAGGAAGGAGTTCAGTCAGAGGCAGAGAGAAGCTACTTTTCGGAGGTAACTGGCTGTGCAGGACGAGGAAGATCTGCTTCCTTCCACAGTGAGGTTACCATAGTACTATGTCTTATCATGAAAAAAAATCTGTATTTTCAAAAACATTGAAAATTGTTTTATAATTTAGCAGCTAAATAAAAGGCAGCTAGAATCTCATAACTGTATGTATCTAATCTGTTATGGTATTGACTTTCTGGGAACTCCACTATATACTTGTGAAAGGGAGAATTAAAAAGCAGGGGCTGGGGATTTAGCTCAGTGGCAAAGCGCCTGCCTGGCAAGCGCAAGGTCGTGAGTTCGGTTCCTGGTACCAGAGAAAAACCAAAAAAAAAAACAAAAAAAAACAAAAAGCAAATAGCAGAGCCCAGGGCCTGCTAGCACATGCCTATAGTTCCAGTGTAATGTCACAGCAGGGGTCTGGAGACCTGGGGATTGCCCCCAGCACTGCACGGCCCTCCTGTTCCTCATTCCTCAGTTCTTGCTTCACCCCAGTGCGGAAGGCAAAGGTGAAGCGAGGCTGACTCAGAGCCCAGATCCCCCAGGCTGTCCAGCCCAGAATGAGGAACTCAGAAAAGGAAAGTAATATGAAGCAGAGGTTTGCTTGCAACATTGCAAAGGTGGGGACAAAGCCATCGAGCAGCCATTTTACTCAGCAGGGACCCGTGAGTTCCTTCGGATGGTGTCCCTGCTCTGCCCATTTTTATAGGGGTTTTAAGCCAGTCAGGGTCTTAGCCTTTGTTGCTGAGGTGAGCTTGTTGCTAGGGTTTGCTAAGGTTTCATGGAGTTTTAGGGGTTTCCAGCGCACAAAAACGGGTCTCTAAGAATAACTATTCTTCCCCTGTAAAGGTTTCACAAAGGGCAATTTCCAGTAACCAGGTGGTCATTTCTGTAGGCGTCTGCCACGCCACGTTGTTAGCCATGCCACGATTGTATATTATTCCTTTCATTCTGCGAAATGTTCATGGACACCGAATGCAAGAGGATGCAGCACTCTGCCGCTCCCCGTGGGTATGAGGCCGTGTGCGGTAGGGTCACGCAGCCCCCGAGTGCGAGCTTCCAGCGCCCGCGTGTGCCGGGGGCTCGCCTCTGGACCGGGGGCTCACGCTACCGCTCTGACGTTTTCTAGGGAGCCGGTCACGCTGCACGTAGCCCTGGAAGATCCGTCCAGCTGCTTCACGTTCCCTTCTACAGGTGAGCTGCCAGTGAAAACACAGAAATGGGGCTGCTCACACCCGCGCCCTGTCCCCAAGACGTGAAGGCCACGGCCTGCCCGAACCGCGAGCCCCGTCCCTCTGGCCGGCCGCGGGCCGCTCCCCCGTCCGTCCACGTCCGCCGGGCCAGCCCAGCGCCGCCGGCGCGCCCGCGGCAGGCCGTCCGCTCCAGAGCCGCGCTCGGACCGCGTCCTGGGAGACCAGCTCTGACCGCCTTGTTTAAAATTCACCACCTGGCCACACCTGCGCTCCCCTCCTACCTTTTCCTTTTAAGTCATCTTCCTGCCTGCCGTGTGACTGAGCGAGGTACGGCTTTCCCTGAGACACCAGCCTGTAGCTGTCTCTTCCCTGATGCAGTGCAGGTGTCCCAAGCCTTCCCGGCACCAAGCAGGTGCGCAACAAATACTAACAGGATGGCTGAAAGGAAAAGGAGAAGAACTGAGACAAATGTTTGTCTTTATCATTTCCAAGGAACTATAGATGAGATCATCTGTATAAAAACAGCTCCTGCAGGCGTCGTGGCTCCCGCCTGTGATCCCAGCATGCCGAGAGGCTGAAGCAGGAGGGTCACAACTTTGAACTTAGGCTGGGAAACTGAGCAACTGAGCAAGACCCTGTATCAATTTTTGTTTTTAAAAGAGAACAGAGCTGGGATGTAGCTCATTGTGGAAGCCCTGAGTTTACGCTCTAGTACCACCACCATCCCCTAAAAAAAGGAAAGTGGAAGGAAAGAAGCAAGGGAGGGAAGGAGGGAAAAGAGAAGACAAAACAGACGTGACTGAAATCATAGCCATAGAGGAATTTACACCAAAGGAGTTTTTCAAATCAGGAAAGAACAAAATTACAAGGTGTGTTAGTTTTAGTAGGCAAAGAAAAACCAATGACACATAATTGATTTTCTTATGGAACAGAACAAAATAATTGGAAAAGAATAAAGCCAAAATTAACAGTTATTCAACAAAAACATAGTTATAAATCTGGACAGTAATAATGTAAATAGGGCTAGGCATGGTGGCACACACCTGTCACCCCAGCACTAGGGAGGCTGAGGCAGGAGAATCACAGCGAATTCAAGGCCAGCCTGGGTTGCATAGTGAGTTCAAGCCAGCCTGAACTATATAGTGAGACCCTGTCTCAAAAAA